CTCAAAACAATTTCAATCTCAGATTTTTCAAGGTGACAAAGCAACTCTTTCTGTCCTGTAAGCAGTTGAGGGATCAAGATGCTGTCATCCGGCGAATGGCGGCGGAGATGGAAGATCTCAAGCGGCCTGTCAAAGGGAAGGGTGTAGCTGGAGTGGGTGACCACAGTGAGCGCACCCTATCCCGCCGTTCAGGCGGACAGAGTCAACGACATACTCAGTCCATATCTATCACCAGAAGTTACCAGGTTGGTGATTCCGACGTGCGTGCAGAAAAGTCTAGCGCGCAAGACAGCACCTACAAACCCTCACGTCCGGAGACGACGTCGAGGTACTCTTACTCCGCTCAGTCAGAGGATTTACGGGCGGTCTTAAAGGAGCGGGCCCGCCGGCGTGAAGCCCAGAGAATACCAGCTTTCCAGCGGCTATCCTACGGGGTTCACGCCAGCGAGGAGGTCGGAATGCCTCCACCCCGCCAAGCAGTGCCACTCCTTGAAGATATGGACTTGGCCAGGCTGAGTGCCACTCCTTTTTCCCTGGAAATTGAAACAACACCACTTCCGGCAGGCTTCCACCAACCTAGGTTCACACTCTATGATGGAAAAACCGATCCTTACATGCATGTGAGTCACTTCCGACAGGTTATGGCCGGATATAGGCGGAATGACGGACTTATGTGCCTAATCTTCCCGTCAAGTTTGGGCGAGCTGGGCTTAAAGTGGTTCGAGGGGTTGCCAGAAGGGAGCATACAAAGGTGGCATCAGTTGGCCGAGGCGTTTGTTACACGCTTCAAAACCAACACAAAAACACCAAAGGAAGTCGATCACTTGCTAAGTGTCAGGATGGAACCGTGCGACACACTGAAGGCGTACAATTCAAGGTATTGGGAAACCTTCAACGAGATCTTGGATTGCCCGATCAACCTTGCAATCACGCAATATAAGCGTGGTCTCCCGGTCGGACATAGACTGTGAGACTCGCTTACCATGCCCCAGCCGACCTCCATGGGCCAGCTCATGCAGCGCATCAATGAGCACATCCGAGTAGAGGATGACGCGTCAGCTTCTACCGTGAAGGCCACTCCGGTAGTAACGGACAAGAAGACAGCAGGCAAAGTGCACGCAGTTGGGCAAGAGTCCAGCCGCTCAAGTGACCGAGCAGAGGAATCGGACTGTGGTTCAAATCGTAAGAACCGGGGTAGAGGACGTCGGAATGATCGGGATGATTACCCCCGAGATGACGTAGCGGACGCAAACAGAAGGATGAAGGCAAGGGCTGGCATAACCACGGTCTTCAAGATTCCAATCTATCGCATACTTAGTGAAATCTGAGACGAGGAGTATGTCTGGTTTCCTACTAAGTTGGGCGATGGACAAAAGGGCTACAATCCGCGGTATCGTTGTACATTCCACCGGGAGAGAGGCCACCGGACTGAGGATTGTTTGCCTTTGAGGCAACACTTAGAAGAGCTGGTTGCGGCCGGGCATCTAGACCTTTACATTGATGGTGGCGTGAAGCCGAATCAGGCTTCGGTCGATCCCAGGGGACAGGATGACCAAGACGCACCACCACAGGGAGTTATTAATGTCATCCACGGCATTGTGGAACCGGAGCGTGTTTGCGAACTTCGGGGCATGATAAAGAAGGCAGAACATATGAGGGAAGTTTTGTCGGTACAACCTGCCATAAAAAGGGGGAAGACTGAAGAAAAGGATGTGATCAGTTTCACCTCAAGGGATTTAGAGCGTATCCAGACGCCGCACAACAATGCTCTTGTAGTAACACTACGCGTCAAAGAATTTGATGTTAGACGGATCTTGATCGATCAGGGAAGCTCGGTCGAGATCATGTATTATGATGCGTTCAAGCAGCTCAAACTCCGTGAGACAGACTTGGCTCCGGCTACTTCGCCACTGGTTGGATTTAACTCGCAACCGGAGTGGCCTTTGGGAAAGATAATCCTGTCGGTCAAAGCGGGATCCGTGGTAAAGCAAGTTGAGTTTTGGGTGCTGCAAGTGCTTTCGACGTACAACCTTATCCTTGGAAGGGGATGGCTACACGCCATGCAAGCCGTGGCATCAACTTTTCACCAAGTAATGAGATTCCCCTCGGCTATGGGGGCAATCGAGGAGATTTGGAGCGATCAGGTCATGTCCAAGCAGTGCTTCGTGGCGGTTAACGGAAGCCGAGCTGCCAAAGGATTCGTTCAAATGATTGAGGGACCGGAGGACCAGGGTGTCTTGGATGATGTGGGCACCAAGGCCGAAGATAAGGCTATTGAGGAATTGGTTGAGGTGCAGATTGATACCAAGCAGCCGGATAAATTCTTCTTGCTCGGTTCAAGTCTCACGGCCATAGAGAGGACCGAGATGATTGAGTTTTTGATGGCAAATATCGAAGTCTTTGCATGGTCGCCCTACGACATGCCTGGCCTTGACCCAAGCTTTATCTGCCATCACCTCAATGTCTTCCCTGGAGCAAAGCCAGTCATCCAGCGAACAAGGAGGTCGGCGCTGCATCACGCCGAGGTAGTAGCAGAGGAGGTAAAGAACTTGCTTGAGGCACGAGCAATACAGGAAGTGCACTACCCTCGGTGGATTTCCAACACGGTAGTGGTGCCCAAGAAAAATGAAAAGTGGCGAGTTTGTGTCGACTACAAGACAGTCAACCGAGCTTGTCCCAAAGACAGCTTCCCTTTGCCGCGCATTGACCAGCTAGAGCTGGGCTTAAAGTGGTTCGAGAGGCTGCCGGAAGGAAGCATACAAAGGTGGCATCAGTTAGCCGAGGCGTTTGTTACGTGCTTCAAAACCAACACAAAAACTCCAAAGGAAGTCTATCACTTGCTGAGTGTCAAGATGGAACCGTGCGACACACTGAAGGCATACAATTCAAGGTATTGGGAGACCTTCAACGA